CCCTCATGCCATTTGTGGTAAATTTATATTTTTAGTGATGCACCTGTCTTAGGTGCAGTGCAAAACAACCTTTGATAGTAATGCTGCATCTTTGGAGATGGAATTAAGGACAAACAAAGACTTCCTTCAAAACAATTTTATTGTACGGATGTAAAATCATTAAAATAACATTGATGGATTGCTCAGAGCATTAAACTAACAAGCAAAAATTATAATACATTGACAAGCAGACCAAAAGTATGGCTGTGTTCTTTTGGAGCTATTAATTCAGAATGTGTTGCTTCAGAACTGCTTCACCTGGCAAAACGTCCCCTCACACACGTGATGCCATCTACAAGAAAGATGTCAAATCCACTTGATTATGTTAAATATTACTGTGTTAATACAGCTGGGTTAAAAACTAAATGTCTGAAAAAATAAAAATAAAGATATTTGCCACATTTGGAGAAAATTGTTCATATTCTTACCTCTCTTTACAAAGCCCATTGAACCACGACCACCAGTCCACTGTCTCCCAGATCCCGTTCGGACTTTAGGAGGCTGAGAGCTGCTTGTGTCTGAGAGAGAAATAACGCAGAGTTTGTGAAACCGATATGAGATATTGGAGGTTTGCGTAATTTTAGTATGTGTGAGTGTTTGTACCTGCAGAACTAGATGAAGGTTCCTGGCTTGTGGAAGGCAGACTGGCCTCCTCTGAGGGCTGGGCTGGTTCCTCCGCCTCAGTCTGTGACACAGCATCAAGTGAAGCTTCAGCACTGCAGAAATATTTATCAGACAGTTATTTTAATAAACACATTCTACACCACCTACTCCATTATGGAGTCCATGATCTCTCAATAAATTTAACTTCTTATGTCACAACAATGGAAGTAAATTGTGATGCCAGTGTCTCGTTTGGGTAGATTCAAGGGCTCATGTTTACCTGTCTCCTGCATCCATGAACAAGTCGTCTCTCTCCTCCATTCCACTAGGGCCTGCAGGAGCACTAAGGCCGGGTGTGGAGGTGCTCACCATGGGCACAGACTGAGAAGCATGCTCAATTGCTTCAGATGCCACAGTCTCTGATAAAATTGTCACTGAATGGATTAAAAAAAAAGATGATTTAACCAACTGTAAAATGGTAGAGTGAAGAGAATTAGGTATATAATGGGATACTAAAACTATTTTGATATAGCTTGTCATCATCCCTCTGTTCACCATTTTGAAGGAGCGATTTAATTCTCAGTAAATTAAAATGCACAAAAAGTGGCCACTGCATAATCTTGCACTTTTCCAAGATTATTTTAAAATTATTTAGACTATTAAGGTGGATTGATTTGTACGTACCAGGAGCGGCAATCTGTAGTGGGGTTGTGGGCACACTGCGTCCTCCTGACTCCTCCTCATGAGCTCCAAGGAAAACAGAACTCTCAAACATGCCTAAACCTGAAGAACACACAGAAGACAGCATTAAAAGAATAACCAACCAACATCTGACAGAAAGGGCAGTTAAAGAAGTCATTAGTCTGAAAGAATATAAGGTAATGTGTGCTACCTTGTGAGGGCAGCAGGCAAAGGTCTGAATGAGAGGAGCTGGTCTGCGGGAGGTCATCTGAAGGACCGAATCGAAATCGTGATACGCCTGCGACCTGTGGAGAACTTCATACAACAGAAGAAATCACTCATGTGGCTAAATGAAAAAAAATACAACCACAGCGAAGTGTAAAGGCAAAAATGCATACTGGATTGCTTCAGCAAATCCGTCTGAGCGAGGAGGAGGAAGTGTAGGGGTACTAGGAACCATCCTGTCATCATCCTCATAGAAATGCTGCTGTTGGAAAAGCAAGAAAAAAAGATAAAGACAGAGATTGATTGACAAACATTCAAGCTCAGATGCAAACACACCACACAACCAAACCAAGAACCAAAAAGCAACTCACTGCACTACTGGCCATTCCAGAAGTAAGCTGGAGGCCTCGTCCCATTGACGGCCGTCGAACTGGGAGCCTCTGCAGACACATGCAAGTTATTTTTTAAATGCACATTCCAAGCAACGCCAACAACAGCAAACTAAGAAAAAGCTCCTCAAGCTATGCCACACAGTACACTGAGACCTTTGCACACACCTGGACTTGTGGAGGGGGTCCCAACTCTTGAGCAGGTGGGGCCAAGATGTTTAGACGAGGTGGAAGAGGATGCTGAGGTCTCCTGGGTGATTGGGGGTGAGGTCGAGGGGCAGAGCTGGTGACAGGTGCTTCAAAAGCATCCAATGTGCTAGTTTCAACTAAGCCGCCACATACAGATGAAAGGAAAAGAGAAGGTGCTTTAAAACACCAACAACTGACTTCATGAAGCTTGAAAGCCTCAATCCTTTTCATTGTAAATACATGGAAAGATCAACATGATGGATGCTACCACACGTCTTTTCAGACAGTTAGGTCATGCTGACTTACAGCTCTGAGAATCTGCCATGCGTTGGGTGGAGTCTGTCGCTCCAAGACTTTCCTCTGTCTCAGTGCCTGGATCTGTGGGATCAGGGCCCTTGAAAAGGTTGGTGTGGAAGAGAGGTAGGGCAAGGTAGAGGTAGGGCAAGAATTAGCAGAAAGAACATTTCTAGTTAATTTCCTGGGTATAACGTTTTGATTTTTACATACACAGAGAACGTTTGTCCAAAGCTCTTTAGAGCAGAATGGGTTTTAATGACTTTATTATCATAAAAGATGTGTAAAGGGTGCATAGTCAAACTGAGCCTGTTGCACCAGCTATTCATAAATATATTGCATAATGGCAAGCAGCGGTTGGATCATTAAAATGGCATGAGACAGCTCACATCGGAAACTTATGCTTTCATAAACATCTCTGATGTTCAGTCCAAATGTAGGTGTTTGTGCTACACTAAAACCACTTGTCTACACTAGGGTTGGGCAAACTGAACTGAAGAACTAACTCACTTTCAATTCAACAACCGCATCCCAAAGGATGTTTAATTGGAATGATGGGAAAGGGAATTTACTGAAAATCACTTCATAGATATCCATTCACATGAAGGAAATTTCATTAGGCCAGCACAAGCTTTGTAACAAAAACCATGCATAGATCATAATTTAAGACTAATTATGGCCATTTTTTCCTCAAGTAATTAGAGGAAGAACACTACCGTTCAAAAGTATTTAAAGAAATTAGTACTTTTATTCAATTCTTGATCAAAGTGACAGAAAAGGCATTTATAATGTTACAAAATGTTTCCGTTCTTTGAACTTTTTATTCAAAGAATGATAGTATAACATTTCCACAAAAATCCAATTGATAAGAAATGTTTGAGCACCAAATCAGCATATTAGAATGATTTCTGAAGAATCATGTGACACTGAAGAATGGAGTAACCGCTGCAAAAAATTTGGAATAATTTGGAGCTTTGACATCACAGAAATAAATTACATATATTAAAATATAAAACATCTTAAGTTGTAATATCTCACAATATTCCCATCTTCATTTATCAAAAAAATTCAGCCTTGCTGAACATGAGACTTCTTTCCAAAAATAAATAAATAAAATTAATTAATTAATAGATGATATTTTATCATCATGATAATTTTTTTTCATATCAGTCGATATTAGGTGTGTAACGGTACACAAACATTTACACATACGTACCTCGGTTTTGACATCACGGTTCGGTACAGTTTCGGTACAGCAGGGGGGAAAACACATTTTTTTTTTTTAATTAAACAGTGGTTCACTGAACAAATTGCTCTTTCTTTAAATAAATTCAGTTATAAATCAAATTTTCTTAGGGATAAAAATCTACCTCGACTTTAAACCAGGGGTGGGCAAACTTGGCCCTTCCAGGTCACTTTCCTTCAGAGTTTAGCTCCAACTCTAATCAAACACACCTGATACAGCTAATCATTGTCTTCAAGACTACTAGAAGGCTACAGGCAGGTGAGTTTTATCAGGGTTGGACCAAATCTCTGCAGGAAAGTGGCCTGGAAGGGCCAAGTTTGCCCATCACTGCTCTAAACTATAGTGTGAGCCCTTTTTAGGCCTACTATAAGGTTACAGTTAACAACAGAGCCCAAACTTAAATTTAATTACTATTTATTTTTAAATATAACAAGCAACACTCAACTTAAAACAAATGTATGCAAACATGTAAATTGCACATAATGCAGTTTTTAAATTCACTTCTAAATTATAAAAATTCTATTTGTTGTTGAAATATATTCATTTACACAGTGCCTCTCATAACTCGTTTCACAACAGATTTATTTAAACATGAAATAATTAATACATCACTAACAGGTAAAGTAAAATATAAGTTTTATAAAAATATAAATCTAGACTTCATTTATAGCGCACTAACGAGCTGTGGACACTGATGACGTGTCTGAGGTAAATGAAATGCTACGTGACATTTTGTTTACAAGCTGTTTTATCAGTTTTTCAACACTGATTGAAGGATTCCATGAGGCGTGAGATGTTCATTCATGTTTATTTCGTGTTAAAACTAGTAATAAAGAGGGAAGGGATGATCGCGCTGCCATTGAGGCGTTTATACGGCGATCTGTCTCCTCCACATCAAAGACTGACAAACCGGCATTTATTGTTTAAATTTCCTGAAAAAAGGACATAATTTGAAAGATTAGACTTTGTTTCTTATCAAAAGTAACAATATATAAAACTGGAAGTTTCCAATGAAATTCCGCTCGTGCAGTGGTTAAAACAACGCTGTATTTGTTCGGTACACATGCGTACCGAACCGAAAGACACATACCGAAAATTTTTGATACGAATACGTGTACCGTTACACCCCTAGTTGATATCGATAATTATGACGATACATTTCAAACCTTTATTTAAAGTTTAAAGGCAGATTTTTGTAGTGAAAGTGAAAGTTATAGAAACGAGACCATTAATTGTAGTTTTAAACTACTCTTTATAGTCAGAACATGACAAACACTCCAAGTTTTTAATTTTTCCTTAAAATAAATATATTTAATAGAAACATTTATTTCTTCGTTTCTGCAAGTTCTAACGGCTGATATTGTTTCAAATCATGAAACAGGTTTGTGCTGCCTGACTTTGATGATGTGTACCTTCAGCAAAGTTTGCAGTGCAGGCTGCTATATATATATATTATTTTTTGTCTCTTAGAAATGCACATTTGACAGTAGCCCTGAGTTAGGGTGCAGATATAAATTTATATTCATTATCAAAAACAGTAACATCTTTAAAATCGGTAACAACCTCATTTTTACATGGTAAAATATAATTATTCTGACTGTTTGAGTTTTTGACCATTGGTCTTCCAGTACCATAGGCCTACATTTAGATCATGTTAACCAAAGTTAAAACCACACATAGAGCACCTCAATACCATGGTAAAAATGTAACTTTATGGTTTCTAGGTATTTGTATGAAAAACTGTTGGCCTAGTCTAGATACATTTAGTATAAATACACAAACACAATAGCTTAATCACAAAACAATACTGTAATTATATTCCATTACTCCTTTAATACATTTAATACATGTCTACATTAATAATATAATACAATTCAATATGAATATCCCACATTTCTGCCACAATACCATGGTGCAGTTAAGTGTTAACACAGTAAATCCATGGTAAATGTTGGCAATTTGTAGATTGAAAAGCCTTCTGACTGTATCGTTGTGCACAGTGCGCTTTTGGCGCATAAACATTATATCGAACATTTATCGAAATCTTGTTATCGTTTTATCGAGGAAAATTAAATTGCGATAATTATCGTTATTGTTTATCGTCCAGCCCAACTCCATTTACAGTTTAATTTAAGTTTATTGCCACATCAGCATCACAGGATATTTCATGGTAAAGATTATACATTAGAAAAACAATATAGTAGTACACAATACAATATACAATAAAAATAAATTAATAAAAACAATTATAAAACAAAGTATTCCATATAAAATTCTATAAAGGATTCTTTAAATTTACTTTTGAAAGAAATTGTCAAAGTTTTTCTGGGTCCATCTTATAAAACAAGTCCTTAAGAGTTTGTCCTGATAATAACCTATAATGTCTCATGACATTAAATATTTGACAGACCAAAAGCACGTTTAACCGTCAAGTGAGTCCTGCAATATTGATATTTTGGTGCTTGCACTGTTGACTCAATAACCACAACTGCTCTTAGAATTAACAATCTTTACTGCTCCATCACGTTCAACCACACCAGCTCAGTTTACATAGAACAAAAACAGGTTATAATATAACAGGTTAACTTTAGAGTTTCAGTTTGAATGACTAGACATTAACAAAACATAACTAAATCATTGTCAAATCCATTCAATCTTTAAGATGGCAAACGCCTGTGCTGAGAGCTTTCAGACGGCCAAGTGCAGATGCCCCCTTTTTTGTCAAGCAGTTAGCTATAGCTGCTCTTTGGTGGCTGACCACAAGATCTGCTGAATAGTTTCAGAGTGTATAAGCTCCTTCATACTGCTGATTTCTAGGCACAGTCTCTTTTCAGTGACAGATTTTGTAGATTTAAGAGCATTGAGAAGGGAAGGATTGTCTGTTATACACACAATGGGCAAGTTGTTGCATGAGCAGTCACCAGTGGTAATCCCAGAGTAGAGTATAACGAGGAAAACTGCAGTGTCAATCCCATCTGCAAGTGCCAAAGTCTCTCCTGCTAAGATACTCAGTACAACTCTCCTGATGTGTTTTGACTGCAAGGATATAGGTGAAATTTTTTTTCCATTTTCTCCAATAAGCATGATGAAATGTCCACCGTGTGCCACCATGCGGAAGGTTTTCCATTGAGGAATCACTGTACACCACTAATTTAACAGAACTGTTTTTCCCTAAGTACTGGAACCTCAAGGTGACCTCTTCTGATTTCAGTTTTCTGATACGTTTATTTGCACAATGCAGGGTCTGAACAGTAGCATGCTTTGTGTTAGATGCCAAAATGGATATGTCACACATTATGTCAGGTCTGCTTTGCCTGGCAACCCACAATATTTGTCCAATCTTTGATTTTAGCATGTCCATCTCAACATCTGTCAATGAAGCTTCACGTTGTGTTGCTCTGGTGGAGTCCACTAGAATGGGTTGCAGATTTTTTATGTACGTTCCTTGTTGTACTTGTATTTCATCCTTCAGAGAATGTACTTCTATTCCAATGTAGCTGAAACTGTCATGCTCTTCCCATCCAACTTGAACGGCAGCTTTTAATTGAGGAATGATAGTTATGGAGAATGCATCTGTACCACCCCAAATAAAGTCATCCACATGAGATGCAAGAATCCCCATCACGTTGCAGGAATCATCCAGCCAGTAAAATACTGCTGGATCTACCTTTGACACTGTAGCTCCCAGTTGTTGCATTGTGTCTTTCACTCTATTATACCAGAATAAAGAAGCATCTGTTAGGCCATAAACACATTTTTTAACTTCCATATAGTTCCTTTGCTCTGTGTTTCTCGTGGTGGGCAAATGTAAATATCTCTGGTTAAATCTTTACCTTGTAAAAAGGCTGCTTTAA